TCCCATACCTGTTGACACTCCTGTCCCTATCCCATACCTGTTGACACTCCTGTCCCTATCCCATACCTGACACTCCTGTCCCTGTCCCATACCTGTTGACAGCCCTGTCCCTGTCCCATACCTGACACTCCTGTCCCTGTCCCATACCTGTTGACACTGCTGTACATGTCCCATACCTGTTGATGTCCCTGTCTCATACCTGTTGACACTGCTGTCCCTGTCCCATACCTGTTGATGTCCCTGTCCCATACCTGTTGACACTCCTGTCCCTATCCCATACCTGTTGATGTCCCTATCCCATACCTGTTGACACTCCTGTCCCTATCCCATACCTGTTGATGTCCCTGTCCCATACCTGACACTCCTGTCCCGGGCACCCCGGCCGTACTTTGCCCGCAGCAGCAGCACAGAGCAGAGCAGCAGCGTGGCCGTGGCCGCCCCGAGCAGCAGCAGTTGCCGCAGGGACGCGTTCAGGAGCCGCGGGCACCCCGAGGGCGACAGGCTGAAATGCCACGAGGCCGGCAGCAGGCACGAGATGCTGATCCTGAAACCCCAAAATGCTCAATTCCCCAAAAAAAAACCACCCACAGGTGATGGGTTTGGGGTTTGGGGTTTGGGATCCCATCCCGGGGTTTGCTGGGTTGGGGTTGCAGCTCCCGGTTTGATCCCAGGTTTATTTCCAGCTCTCAGCAAAATTAGAGGTGGGAAGGAGGGGAAAAAGTCTGGATTGGGAATTTGGGGGATTACTGGAGAGGAGAAGGATTTGGRGAGAGCTCAGAGCTCTTTTTGGGGYCTGGAGGGGCTCCAGGAGAGCTGGAGAGGGACTGGGGACAAGGGATGGAGGGACAGGACACAGGGAATGGGGTCACACTGGGAAAGAGGGGATTGAAATGGGATTTTTGGGGAGGAATTCCTGGCTGGGAGGGTGGGGAGGGGCTGGGATGGAATTCCTGGAGGAGCCCCAGGATCCCAAGGCCGGGTTGGGGCACCCTGGGACAGCGGGGGCTCACCCTGGGGTGGCCCTGGCTGACCCCTCCCACCCACAGCACTCGGTGTTTCTGTTCCATTCTGGATTTAACTCCACCCCAGTCAAGGTGACACCCCATCCCTGATCCCATCCATGATCCCATCCCTGATCCCATTCCTGATCCCATTCCCCACCCCATTCCCCATTCCTCACCCCGTTCCCGATCCCATTCCCCATTCCCCATCCCATCCCTGATCCCATTCCCCATTCCCATTCCCATTCCCATTCCCATTCCCATTCCCATTCCCCATCCTCCACCCCATTCCCATTCCCGATCCCATTCCCCATTCCCCACCTCATTCCCATCCCCATTCCCATTCCCGATCCCATTCCCCATTCCGCACCCCATTCCACTCCATTCCCCACCCCATTTCCCATCCCATTCCCCATTCCCATTCCCCATTCCCCATTCCCATTCCCATTCCCATTCCCCATTCCCCATCCCATTCCCCATTCCCATTCCCCATTCCCAATCCCATTCCCATTCCCATTTGGGATTTGGGATCCTCACCTCCCCATTTTGGGCTGGTGCAGCGCAGGAGCCGCGGGCAGTGCAGCCTCAGCCGCTGCCGTCACAGGGACAGGGAACACCCGACCCTTCCCGAGCCATCCCCGCTCTGCTCCTGGAAAAAACCACAGCCCTGCTGATCCCTCGGGAATTCCTTGGGAAATTCCTCGGGAAATTCTGCAGGAAATTCCTCGGGAAATTCCTCGGGAAATTCCTTGGAAATTCTTCGGGAAATTCCTTGGGAAATCCCTCGGGAAATTCCTCGGGAAATTCCTCGGGAAATCCCTCGGGAAATTCCTTGGGAAATCCCTCGGGAAATTC